CGTATTTGCAACCGGATACATTCCAGAAATTGCTAATATGAGTATGCCCGAAGATGTATGCAAGGCCCGGGAATGGGCTCGATAACGGGTTTTTAAGCTAAGGTTGTACTTAGACTAGGTCTTTCTCAACTGAATCTTGCCGTATTTGCGACCAGATACATGCAAGAAAGTGCTCATATGGGAATGTTTTGGGGATGCCTATTCTCAGGCTCAGGAATGGAGAGGAATGAATAGGAATGAATGCTGTCCTCTGCTGCTACCTGTTCCTTTAACCTGGCTGTAGTGGCCCGTGTGTCTCTGGATCCGTGTAAGGGCTTCTGTTCACAATGCGAGCAGGACCTTTTCAACTGACCGTGACCGCATTCCTGCGCAGATACATTCAAACAAGGCCAAGACTGAGAATGCCCTGAGTAAGGGACAGAAACTGTGCGCTGATGGTCCCTACCTATTCAGCAGGCCGTCCATTCTCTCCTGAACAGCCAGTGCAACGTTCACGGTTATCCCAGGTAACCGTTGTGTCATGTGATGAGGGAAGGAGCTTATAACACACATCAGTTCTCTGTGTCGACCTTAGTTTCCATGTGTGTTCTGGACGTCTATGGGATCCTGCAGCTAGAAAAGAATCGGACACTTTTCTTTTGCTGCACTGGAGGACCAAAAGGGCACACAGAACAAACGATAACTTTCGGCCCAAGTTCCTGGAATTGTTGTGCTGGGTGGGAATCTGACCTTTCACATGATTTGTTGCCATGCATTCACAATGTGTATACATTACTTATATGTGCTGTTGCGTGTTTGTTTGTGTTTGTCATTTGACTCAGTGAGGAACCACAATGGCAGCCATTTCGTCAGGAGCGATAATGGTGGGTCTATCTACCTTCTTCCCAGCTCAAGTTTCTGAGTAGTGTTTGCAGACTTTTCTCCTTAGTTTGTTGTTTATCTATGTCGGGTATCTACTGCTGTAACTTTTGCTGTGGTCATTGAGCCGTGAAACCCACTTCAGTAGTTATTTCGTTATTCTCTGATTGTTTTGTCATGATTGTTTCTTTCTTTTTTTTTCCCAAACAAGTGGACCTGCCGCAGCTACGCTGTGGCAAAGGACGATGACAAAAACATTTTGTGAAACACCCCAGCCAGCAGTTGGACCCCATCTTTGCAATGTACCCCTACTGGACGCTGCCCAACTTTGCAAAATGCCCGGCAGTTGCCAAGTTTTCGTAAGTACAATTGCAAAAGGCCAAGCGAATTTGCACACCCGCCTGATAGGGGCATAACACAAACATGTCAGCCCAAAAGGCCATTCCACTGCCCATATCTTTTAGGGACATTTTGACATATATCTGAACTTATGGTATTTGGCAAATTATCCCCACCCCCCCCAAAAATGGAGAGTCTCTCTCTTTCTCTCTCTCTCTCTCTCTCACACACACGTACACACACACACACACACACACACACACACACACACCCCTCCTTCCCCTTGTTCGACCTCGCAACCTCCTCATCCTCCCCCGCGGCCCCCTCCTCCCTCTCGCATGAACTCCTCCCCCTAGCACGACCTCCTCCTCCCCCTCCTGCACGACCTCCTGCGACCTCTTGTCCCCATCGTGCAACCTGCTCCTGCCCCTCCCACGACTTCCTCCTCCTGCTTCCACGACCCACTCCTCCCCTTCCTCGGACCCCCTCCCCCTTGTGCGACCTCCTCCCCGTCCTTGCACGACGTGCTCTTCCCGCAAGAACATAGGAAGATACACCGCGACGGACAGATACATTGAAGAGAAATCCCGGTGTGTGTATGGACTAAGGAGTTGTCAGATGCAAATGTTGCCCCCTGTGCGTGCGAGAGAGAGAGAGAGAGAGAGAGAGAGAGAGAAAGAGAGAGAGAGAGAGAGAGAGAGAGAGAGAGAGAGAGAGAGAG